TAGGGTGATTATGGTAGGGGAATTTAACTTTCCAAAAATCGACTGGGACTACCATAGTTTTAAGGGCTTGGATGGAGAGGAATTTGTTAAGCGTGTCCAAGAAAATTTTCTTAAGCAGTATGTGTATGTACCTACTAGAGAAGGTGCAAAGCTTGACCTACTATTGGGGAAAAAAGGCAGAGCAGATGATTGAGGTGTCAATGGGGGAGCAGTGACCATAATTCTATTAGTTTTAATTTATTAGATGGGGTTGAAGTTCTAGATTGGAGGAAGGCCAATTTTGACAGTTATTAGGCAAGGACTTTCAAAAGTTTATTGGGGGAGGATGTTCGCAGGTAAAGGGATGGCTGGAAAATGGGAAACCTTCAAAAATAAGATAACGAGAGTCTGGAGACTGTATATTCCTGTTAGGGTGAAGGGCAAGGTTGGTTAGTATTGGGAATGCTGGACGACTAGAGAAATTGAGGTTTTGGTCAAGAACAAGAAGGAAGCATATGTCAGGTATAGACAGCAGAGATCAAGTGAATCCATAGAAGAGTATAAAGGCCATAGGAGTGTACTTAACAGGGAAATCAGGAGGGCAAAAAGGGAACATGAGATAGCTTTCGCAAATAGGTTACAGGAAAATCCAAAGTGATTCCACAAATACATTAAGGACAAAACGGTAACGAGGGAGAGAAAAGGGCCCCTTAAAGATCAGCAAGGTTACATATGTGTGGAACCACAGGAGATGGAGGAGATACTAGTCAAGTATTTAGCATCAGTGTTTACTGTGGAGAAGAGTATAGAAGATAGACAATGTGGGAAAATAAATAGCGACATCTGGAAAATGTCCATATTACAGTCATCGATGTAGCGGAGGAAGAGGTAGGGGATCATGCCAGTGTAGCTGCAGAAGAGGCACTGTTCCACATATCCTACAAAGAGGCAGGCATAGCTTGGGCCCATGCAGGTACCAATGGCCACCGCTCCTTGACCTGTCCGTTTTCTCTCTCACCTATCTGCTCCTCCCACCTCACTGACCAATCCCCATCCCCACTTCCTACCTACAGTCACCTTTACTCACTTCATCCCCGCCTCCTTGACCTGTCCGTCTTCTCTCCCACACTCCGCTCCACTATCTACCTGCTATCACCACCCCCCCCCCATTTATTTCAGAGCCCCTTCCCCTCCTCCATTTCTGAAGAAGGGTCCTGACCCAAAACGTCAGCTTTCCTGCTTCTCTGATGCTGCCCGATCTGCTGTGTTCCTCCAGCTCCACGCTGTGTTATCTCAGACTCCAGCATTGGCAGTTCTTACTACCTTTACAAGGATGTTGCCAGGGTTGGAGGGTTTGAGCTATAGGGAGAGGCTGAATAGGCTGGGGTTATATTCCCTGGAGCATCAGAGGCTGAGGGATGACATTATAGAGTTTTAGAAAATCATGAGGGGCATGGATATGGTAAATAGACAAGGTCTTTTCCCAGGGTAGTGGGGGGGGAGTCCAAAACTAGAGGGCATAGGTTTAAGTTGGGAGAGGAAAGATTTGAAAGGGACCTAAGGGGCAACTTTTTCATGCAGAGGGTGGTGCCTGTATGGAATGAGCTGCCAGTGGAAGTGGTTGAAGCTGGTACAATTACAACATTTAAAAGGCATCTGAATGGGTATATGAATAGGAAAAGTTTAGAGGAACATGGGCCAAATGCTGGCAAATGGGACTAGATTTATTTAGGATATCTGGTCGGCATGGACAAATTGGACTGAAGGGTCTGTTTCCATGCTGTATATCTCTCTGACTCTAACTTCTTCTTCTTCTTCTTGAAAATGATCAGACTGTTATCTGAGTTCCAGTTTTAGGTGAGCAGAAATGCCCTTGAATTAAACATTGAGAAGCTATTCCATAATGTTATGCCTTCCCAGACAACTGTCTAAAACTAAATCAGACTGTTTGGATGTTTTATGCCATATTTGACCGGAAGGTGAACTTCCAACCATACATTCTCAACACTATCACTCAGACTATCTAGTTCCATCTCTGTGATATTGCTTGACTTCGCCTCTATCTCAGCTTACTAGCACCTGAAACTCTCATCCATGCCTTTGCTACCTCTAGATTTTACTATTGCATTGCAGTTCTGACTGGTCTCCCACATTCTACCTTCTGTAAGCCTGAGGTCATCAAAACTAAGCTGGTGTTAGCAGCAAAGTAGGCAGCATTTGGGCTCTTGAGCCCGTCCGTCTTCCTTACCCTTTTCATCTTCTTTTTCTTTTTCTTCTTCATCTTCTTCCTGTCAGTGGTGGCGGAGAAGGTGACATCTCAGAGGAGGGCAGTGGCAGCCGCCTGGCCTGGCCACAGAGCTGGGGACTCTTGGTTGCAGTAGGCCCAGAGTGGGGACTCCTGGTGTTGGCTATGTGGCAGCTGCAGTGGTGGCAGTGTGGTATGCCTGGAGCAGGGACTCTTGGTTGTCAACAAGGCAACGGCCGCAGCTCCTGATTGCAGTAAGCCCAGAGCCTGGCTCTCCTGGTTATGGCAAACTGGTGGCAGCAGAGCCAGGAATTCCTGGTTGTGGGGCAAGTACGGGTTCAGCATGGGACCCGGCATCAGCAACATGATGGGCCCAGTGGCGAAGAGATGGCCCCTGAAGTGTGGCAACTCCAACATTGGTGGGTCCAGTGCAGGTGACAGTGAGGTGGTAGAGGAGGGGCAGTAACGCAGATATTGTTGGTGAGCTGACTCAGGGCTCAAGACTCGTGACAGAGGCGATGGAATGAAGATAGACCCTCTTTCAGTTATATCGTTTTATTCTTTTTATTCATAAACTATTCAAAATGGCACCTGATTGTGGCAGTTGAATTTTTTCACTGTATTTTACGGTATTATTCACTGTAAAATACAAGTGACAATAAATCATAAAAATTTCAAATATCCAAAACTGTTGCCTATATTTTAACTCACACAAATTTCCTTACACTTCTCACCCTTGTGCTACTGACCTACATTATCTCCTGGTCAAGTAATATTATGATTTTCAAATTCTTATTTTTTGTTTTCAAATCCCTCTGTGGATTCACCCCTGTATAATTGTAATGTCCCACTGTCCTGCAACTTTCCAAGATATCTGAGCTTATCTAATTTTGATCTCTTTTGAGTATCCCTCCACCACTGGTGCCTTGCTGGAAAAGCCTGGGCCCTAACTTCTGGAATTCCTGTGTATCTCTGCCTTGGTCTATTTTAAGACTAGGGAGTGGTGACCATGGGGAATTCTCTGCCACAGAAAACAGTTGAAGCCAAAATATTGAATGTTTTGGAGAAGGATCTAAGTATAGTTCTTAGAGCTGACTGGACCAAAGGGTATAGAAGAAAGTAGGAACAGGCCAATGAGTTGGATGATCAGTGAGGATTACATTGAATGGTGGAGCAAGCTCAAAGGGCTGAATGGTCTACTCTTGTTTCTATTTTCTATGTTTCTGTGTAAAAATACTCCATTAAACCTTCCTTGGCCATGCTTTGGTAATTTGACCTAAAATCTCCAAATGTGGCTTTCTGGCATATTTTATTATCTTGCACTCTTGAAAAAAACCTAAGGACTGCTTATAATATTAATGGTGCCATATAAATGTAAGTTGTTGTTGTACACCCAATTACAGATGCCTGAAATTATAGATTTTTGTGTAGTAGGGGAATTAAAAGACCTGGTGTGGGGCAGGAATGTAGAGTTGAGAGAGATGACCCACCATGATTTTACTATCTGCTGGTCTGGGCGTATGGCCTACTCCTGTTCTCATTCTAATGTTCTTACACTGTACCTCCAGCTTTTACACCTTGTACCATCAGAAGGTATCTCTATTTCTGTGTCTTTACTTCATCTCTCTCCCGCTTCACTCCGGTAAATTTGGTTTGGGGAAAGGCGCAACAAAGTACGAATTTGTTATTGAAATTTGATCCTATTAAAATTGTAGACCTCGGAGACCCGTAACGTGTTTTCCAAGTGTCGATAGTACCAGCAGAATACGGAATTTCCTTTCACATTGCCCAAGCACACCCCGATTCTGGAATTTCCCAGATGCTGCACCATATGACCCAATTTACTGTGCGACCCTTTGTCAACTGTTAAAGCGCAGAGGAAAGGTATAGCTGCTGGTGGTCGAAGGGAACGGCGAACTCCCGAGTAATGTTGGGAGGAACCGCTCTGTTCGCAACAACGTGTAAGGATTACGGCTACTCTTGACACTGCAAGAAGTACAATTTATCAAATGTGTTGTTCATCAGCGTAAAGTGGACGCACAGCAAAGTGGAATAGAGCGTTTTATAGATTGAAGAGCGGATTTTATTGCCATTCTCCCAAATCACCAAATGCAAGGATCAGCCGAGTTTATCGACACTGGAGATTTCCACTCGCAGCCAGCACGTAACGAGTTACTGTTACACACGCCTCCTGTGATCATTTATTTAACTTTTAATCCTTGATATCGTTCAGCAATTTGCACAATATTAAACAATCGATCTCTTGATATCTATCTGCACATAAACTGAACAGCGGGTCTGAGCCCTCACTGTCATTCCCTAACAACCCGCAGCTTCTCGCCAAACGGAAATTAGAGACAAGCATTTAACTCTGCACATCATCCAGTAACTGAAGTCACGTATTCGTCTCAAAGCGAGGAAGATAAAGGGAGAGGGGGGAGGGTGGAAATAAGCGATACGTAAGAAAGTACTGTAAGTGACTGAATGGTAGCTCGGAGTTGGGGGAAGCTGCAGACGTGTGCTTTAAAGGAGGTAGCTGGCGACGGGAGCTTGCATGTACTGGATACATCATACATATTAAGACAAAGGTTAGCAGTGGGCTGAACAAGGTACTGAACTGATGGGTCGCTTGCATTTCTGAGAACACTTTCAGGCCACATCGTTGGGTGAGCTGATACTGTAGGGCAAGGGTTCCTCATCCGAGTATACTGTATGTAAATTTAAAACCAGAATAAAAAGGTTCCAGATCGCGCCCGGAGATCTCTCCAGTCGCTCAACTGTTGTGAATAAAAGTGAGCGGAAAGCTTGGCTCGCTGGAGAGAAGGATCAGTGCCCGAAACTAAATGGATCTGAACTGGAATGATTCGTACCGTTGGTTCGTACAGCACGCCGGAGTGTCAAAGTGCTGAATCTACTTAACGAAACAAAGCGGTTCATTTTGATGTGCTAAAGGAAAGCGGAGCCACAATGATTTCTACAGCCTTGTACTTCATCCTGCCCATAATAGGTAAGATGCCCACATCGTTCCGTGTACCTTTCAACAGTACTCTCCTGCAAGAAACTTAACAAGGGAAGAAGTATGTTTTGTCTCGAGGCCTTTTTGATAGGTTAGCAGCCTCTGTTAAAGTGATCAGCCCAATAAAGGACGCCTTACCTCCAACGGGTGATTGAACTATTTAACTTGGTTACACGTGAATCACACACGCACTGTTTCATTATGTAATATTTAAATGTCAAATTCGGTATTACGTTGGGGAAGAATAATTTGAAGCGTTACCGATGTGCACAAAAGGATAATGCAATATATTGTTTCTGCTTCTGGTGACCAGAATAACGTACATCATCCAGGGTAAAATTTATTTGAACGTTAATCATCATTTTCTAATAAAGTACATGATTTGGATATATTGTCCGGAACTAGATAACTACCGGTAATGCTTTAGACGACGTTAGTAACCTGCAGTGATGTTTGGAAGGTGGGGGTGGGGGGATGCATTGATTTGCTGCTATTATTGATGAAGATCGAAATATTTTGAACTTATATGTGGTTGTTTTTGTCTCGTTTGTTCCCCCACCCACCCCCAATCCCACCTCCAGATACGGTAGTTCAGACTGCAGGTGTGAATCCTCCCCCTGCCCTTACCCGCGTTGACTGTGTGAAGGCCAATGAATTATGTACCAGTGACTCGGCCTGCAGCAGCAAGTACCGTATCCTTAGGCAATGCCTGGCCGGGAGCTCCAGCATGGTCACCGGACCAGAAGCCAAGAACGAGTGCATCAGCGCTATGGAGGTAGTCCAGCAGAGTCCGTTGTACAACTGCAGGTGTAAGCGGGGCATGAAGAACGAGAAGCGATGTCTCCGAATATATTGGAGCATTCACCAAAGTTTCGTACATGGTACGGCAAATATAGTTTAAAAGCTTCTCGCCTTATAACGTAAAACATGAATTTCGGGAATAAAATGTACACGTGATGTAACTCAACAAACTGTGATCATACCTTTCTCCCAGGGTTTACTATCACAGGTCATGACCTGGTCGGTTCTCCCTATGAGCCACTGAACAACAGACTCTCAGACATATTCCGAGCAGCGTCCATCATTTCAGGTAAGAAGTTTCAGAGTGGTCTACGACTTGTATTATGTTTCTGTGTTAAAACAACTAAATACCATATTTAAATTAAATCACCATGCTATGGATCGATTCCCCATGTAGCCCTAAGATGTGTGTTTTGTGTATTATTCTCGTTTTGTACTTACTGGAGTTGACCCTTCACAGTTTCTTTCAGTAATCAATCTGATAGGACTTCTCAGTCAATTCTGCATTGTTGGTACATTGGAAGTGTGAAACCTTGCAACATTTTAAATAAATGCGAAATCACAGATAAATCACAGCGTCTTAAATACCGGTTTGTTTTCAAAAGAAGTTTACATCAGTACTTCAAATAGTTTGATCGAGTAATTGTGCAGCGCACTATGATGTTGCTTGACCTCAAGAGTGGAGAGCGCAAAGGGAACGATCACAGAACTTCGTTACATTCGACTGCTATTGGAGACGACTTCTGCAGGAGACACAAATAAACAGAAAACCTGCTTATGGTTAGCTGCCGTTAGACCAATTGTTGTTGTGAAAGGGAAATTTGGCAGTTTGTTGAGCCTTCCCTTCCTCAAGAATGCACCCCTCATCCCTGGGGTGTTAAGTTTTTTTGTCTCTAGATGGCAGTCTCACACCCTCATAGAAGTTTTCTTCTGTCACTGAAAGTCTGATGAAGCTCGTAGAGTTATCTGCCAGCTACATTGCAAAGGTTTGGTGAGAGTTCGTGTCAAATGTCTGGGCACGTCAGGGTGAGAGTATTTCTCAGTAATGAGAGGTAATGTGCCTTTTCTCTGCTCCCCTGTCACCAGCATCACTATTCCCGTTACTTTTCATTTCTGTCTGTATTCATCATTATGACTGTACATTTCATCGACCAACATAATATAGTGAGTTTAGTAAATTAATTCAGATAATGCTGCCTGTAAGGACTAATGCTCCTCAAGGATTTGCTTCAAAACAAATTTTAACTTTCTACATGCAACAGAAAACCTAGCTCATATTAATTTTGAAAAAATAACACTCGTCCAATTTCACTTGACAAATTTCAACACCCTTTATTAATCTATAATTTAATAAACTCCTTTTGTACACTTCCAGCCAAGTAAATCACAGTATTTGGAACAAAGAAAAATAAAACAACATTAAGCCCCATTTTCCCCAGAGGTTTTACAGAGAGCTGGACGTCTGTGAATTAAATATTGTTCTTTAGCAACAACAGAAATATATTATTCTGTGCAGCAGAAAGCAAATAAAATTTTAAAAATAATAACAAACTGTCAGATTCAAGTGAAAAAAAAATGGTAACTGTAAGCACAAGTTCTGAAATGGTAAATTGAAAAAAAATCAGTAAATTCAGTTGAGAATGGAAACTGCTGCAACATTTCCATGGAATACTGTCTTCGTATTCATGATATTATTTTAAAAAATAAATGGTAGAAGTTTCATGCACAATTTAGCAGGAATACATATCTGGAAATAGGATAGCAATCCTGTTGTGTTGATGGCAGCCTTACCAAAATGGGGAGTTATCAGGAATTGCAGTTTTAGAATGGCTTCGGTTTAGTACGAAAGGCAGGCACGTTTAATTGATAGAGAAAGTAACAGACTATTTTAGAAGTTATGGATGCAATTGTGTTTCAACATTTGGATTAAACAAGATGGTACAATTACTTTAAAATTAGCAGAAATTGTGTCAGTTGTAAGGATAGGATTTGGAACAATGGCCACAGCCTTGTTCTAGGACAGTGCAGTTGATATTAATGACTGAATGTCCTCAGACAATGCACAGTCGCCTTAGCATCAGATGGGTGTAACCACACAATCATGATTAGCAATTTTAGAAAAAGAACAGTGCCTGGATTCCAGAATGGCAGTTAGCAAATTAAAAATCCTCACAGTTGTATTATGTTTTGGCTCCATTCATTGTTTAATTTTCTATTACAGCATAACTGCAATATACTCTGCACAAAATATTTTGTGAACATTTCACAGTTTCGCTCAATGAAAGGCATTACTGTCTAATGCCTTTGTCACCTCCAGAATCATCCATTTAAATATGTTTCCAGCCAGCTTTCCTCTGCAAATTTGAACTCAATCAAAACTCTACCTTCATATAACTTACAATCAGAACAGCATTTAATGGGTGTCTCAACTATCAGCTGGAGAGCCAGAGTCTGTGTCACCTTTTTAGTATAATTAGGCTCTTAAATGGGAATAAAAACAAAAACAGAGTTGCTGGAAAAGCTCAGCAGGTCTGGCAGCATCTGTTGAGAAAACATCAGAGTTAATGTATCGCGTCCGGTGACCCTTCCTCAGAAGGGTCTTTTCTGAGGAAGGGTCATCGGACCCAAACATTAACTCTGATTTTTTCTTCACAGATGCTGCCAGACCTGCTGAGCTTTTCCAGCAACTTTGTTTTTGTTCCTGATTTACAGCATTTGCAGTTCTTTTGGTTTTTATCTTAAATGGGAATGGCAGACCTTCCCCAAAATCAAGTTGAGTGGGGTGGTGCAAGGGTTTAGAAGGTTGACAACTGAGGGCTACTTGACAATCAGAAATTAGCAGCTCCTCATTACTCAGCACTGCTACCAGGGTAGTGGTGTCCGCTGCTGGTATCTCTGACTGGGGTGGAGTTGGTTAGCTTGGATGGCTGGTTTGCGATGCAAGGTGATGTCAAAAATGTAGGTTCAATTCTTGCACTGGCTGAGGTTACTATTAAGGACTCTCTCTCTTAACCTCTCCCCTCGCCTGAGGTGTGATGACCTGAATTTAAACCACCAGCACTTGTTACTCTCTGATGAGAGAGCAGCCCTCTGGTTATGATAGGACTGTGATGATTTTTAATGCATCCACTCAAGGCACAGGATCACCAAGGGATCTGCCCACAGTTGTGTGATGACAGGAGAAACATTGAAGTGTAGTTGTTAGAGGGATTGGGGAGACAGGTCAGCAGCAAGGACAGTGGGTTGGCTCTTTCCTGATGCTGAGGACCTCGATCAGCACTGAGTGCACATGAATGAGGACTCCTTCACCATCTGTCAAAACCCTAAATAAGCATGACAGGGTTTCTGTTTCCAGGTTTTTGCATGTCAAGGCCCCACCTGCTGCTGGGTGAATACTTCCTATCCAGTCAAGGCCTCAATATGCAATAGGGCGGGAAGGCCAACAATAATCTGTGGAATGATTGCCACCTCTGGCTAGACATATTCTGGGAGATGTCAGCAGAAGTGACATCTCAGAAAACCAGTGGTGTTACATTCCATTATTCAACTCAGTATAGAATCAAATGTAGAACCAACATCTATATTTTCCTGTGAGGGTGAAGGGCCAGGTTGACAGAAGAAGGGAACCCTGGATGACGAGATATTGAGGCTATGACTAGAAAAAAGAAGGAGGCATGGCTCAAGTACAGGCAACTGGGATCAAGGGAATCCCTGGAAGTATATAGAGGATCCAGGAGTTTACTGAAGAAGGAAATCAGGACAGTGAAAAGGGGACATGAGATAGCTTTGGCTGAGAAGATTAAGATGAATCCAAAGAGATTTTTTAAGTCGATTAAAGGAAAAAGAATAACAAGAGAGAGAATAGGACTCATTGAGGACCAAATTGGACATGTATATGTGGAACTGCCGGAGATAGGCGAGGTCCTCAATGGATATTTCTCCTCTGTGTTTACCGTGGAGAAAGACATGAAGACTCGGGAACTTGGGGAAGTTAGTGGTGACATGTTGGAGACAGTCCATATAACAGTAGAGGAGGTGTTGGAAGTACTGGAATGTATGAACGTGGATAAATCTCCTGGTCCTGATCAGATATATCCAAGAACCCTGCAAGAGGCTATAGTAGAAATTGAGGGGGCCCCGGCTGATATATTTGCATCATCTTTAGCCTCTGGTGAGGTCCCGAATTTTGTGCCCTTATTCAAGAAGGGCTGCAAAGAAAAACCTGAGAATTATAGACCAGTAAGCTTAACATCTGTGGCACTTAAGTTACTTGAGAAGATTCTGAGGGATAAGATATACATGCATTTAGAAAGACAGGATTGATTAGGAGTAGTCAGCATGGCTTTGTGTGTGGGAGATCATGTCTCACAACTTTGTTAGAGTTCTTCAATGAAGTGAGCTCGAAGTTGATGAGGGCAGGGCAGTAGACGTAGATCGCATGGAATCCAGGGAGAGGTAGCAAATTGGATGCACAATTGGCTTGATTGTAGGAAACAAAGAATAATAACGGAAGGATGCTTGCTGGACCGGAGGCCTGTGACTAGTGGTATGCCTGAGTGGTCGGTGCTGGGCCTATTGCTGTTTGTTATCTATATCAATGATTCAGATAAGAATGTACAAAGCATGATTAGTAAGTTTGTGGATGACACTAAAATAGGTGGTATCGTGGACAGTGAGAAAGGTTACCAGAAATTGCAGCAGGATCTTAATCAGCTGGGGAAGTGGGCTGAAAAATGGCAAATGGAGGTTAATATAGATAAGTGTGAGGGTGTTGCATTTTGGAAAGTCACATCAAGGTAGGAATTTCATGGTGAATGGTAGGGCCTTAAGGATTGTAGTGGAGAAGAGGGATCTTGGACTACAGTGCACAGTTCTCTGAATGTGGAGTCACAGGTAGACAGGGCAATGAAGAAGGCATTTGGCACACTGGCCTTCATCTGTCAGGGCACTGACTACAGAAGTTGGGAAGTTACGTTGCAGTTGTGCAGGATGTTGGTGAGGCCACAGTTGGAATATTGTGTTCAGTTTTGGTCACCTTGTGAGAGGAATGATGTTATTAAACTGTAAAGAGTGCAGAAGAAAGTTACAAGGATTTTGCCAGGACTCAAGAGACTGAGTTATAGGGAGAGGTTAGACAAGCTAGGACTTTTTCTTTAGCGTGTAGAAGACTGAGGGGGGGATCTTATAAAAATATATAAGATCATGAGGCATGGTTAGGGTGAATACACTCAGTCTTTTTCCCAGGGACATCGAAGACTAGAGGGCATCAGTTTAAGGTAAGAGGGGAAAGAATAAATGGGAACCTGAGGGGCAACTTTTTTACACAGAGGGTGGTACGCGTATGGAATGAGCTGCCAGTGGAAGTGGTTGAAGCAGGTACATTAACAACATTTAAAAGGCATTTTGACGAATACATGGATAGGAAAGGTTTAGAAGGATATGGGCCAAGTGCAGGGAAATGGGGTTAGTGTGGATGGATGTTTTGGTTGGCATGGACCCATTTGGGCCAAAGGGCTTGTCTCCGTGCTGTAGGACTCCATGACTCTATGTGCCAGATCAGCTAGATTGCTATTTGATAATATCCAAAACAATTGTCATCAGTCCCAACCTCAGAAGATCACACCCTTGCATGCCAGTATGATGTTCCATTTCCAGTGGCATTAATTTCTTGTGAACTACCTAGCTAGTTGATCCAATCAGGGTTAGCTTTGAACCCAGATCTCGGAGAGAGAGAGAGAGAGAACCAGTATCTCGCCTTTATTGCCCATTTCCTGCATTTCTTATGTTCTTATCCTGATAATTATGTTGGGCAACTACACGACAACTAAATGTCTTACAGTATTCAGTGATTCATAATTCAAAGATTTTGCACATTATTTAAAGAATACCACCTATGATTTGTGGGCTTTTGCAGCATCCAGCGCAGTGACATGGGGTAATGTGGAACATTTAAAAAAAAAACTGGAGGAATCCTAAAGTAACTGAATAATGTAAAGTACATTAGGAATAACTGAAAAAGATGCATCAGGAACAGAACTTAATGTCAGGTTTAATAATGACTGTTTATTGTTTCTGCAGGGATCTTGCTAGTCACTTATCGTGCATTTGACAGATCATTGTAAAGGTTAAAACAGATTACAAAGATCAGAAAAATCATCTAACTTTTAACGGGATTTTCAAAAACATTGATTTAATGAAAATTTATACTTACTGTAGTGAGGAACAATCAGTGCTGGAAACAGAGTATTCCCCAAAGGGGAAGAGAGAGTGACTATTCTTGACAAGGCTGCATTTGACCATGTGTGGTACCAAGAAGCTTTAGCAAAACTAGAATCAATGGGAATCACAGTGAAAACTCTCTTCTGGTTGGAGTCATACAGGCA